AACAGTTACTGTGACCACTTGATCAAGTCCTGAACAGTTACTGTGACCACTTGATCAAGTCTTGAACAGTTACTGTGACCACTTGATCAAGTCCTGAACAGTTATTGTGACCACTTGATCAAGTCTTGAACAGTTACTGTGACCACTTGATCAAGTTCTGAACAGTTACTGTGACCACCTGATCAAGTCCTGAACACTTACTGTGATGACTTGATCAACTCCTGAACAGTTACTGTGACCACTTGATCAAATCCTGAACAGTTACTGTGACCACTTGATCAAGTCCTGAACAGTTACTGTGACCATTTGATCAAATCCTGAACAGTTACTGTGACCACTTGATCAAGTCCTGAACAGTTACTGTGACCACTTGATCAAATCCTGAACAGTTACTGTGGCCACTTGATCAAGTTCTGAACAGTTACTGTGGCCACTTGATCAAGTCCTGAACAGTTACTGTGGCCACTTGATCAAGTCCTGAACAGTTACTGTGACCACTTGATCAACTCTTGAACAGTTACTGTGACCACTTGATCAACTCCTGAACAGTTACTGTGACCACTTGATCAACTCTTGAACAGTTACTGTGACCACTTGATCAAGTCCTGAACAGTTACTATGACCACTTGATCTAGTCCTGAACAGTTACTGTGACCACTTGATCAAGTCCTGAACAGTTACTGTGACCAGTTGATCAAGTCCTGAACAGTTACTGTGACCACTTGATGAAGTCGTGAACAGTTACTGTGACAACTTGATCAAGTCCTGAACAGTTACTGTGACCACTTGATCAATCCTGAACAGTTACTGCGACCACTTAATCAAGTCCTGAACAGTTACTGTGACCACTTGATCAACTCTTGAACAGTTACTATGACCACTTGATCAACTCTTGAACAGCTACTGCGACCACTTGATCAAGTCCTGAACAGTTACTGTGACCACTTGATCTAGTCCTGAACAGTTACTGTGACCACTTGATCAAGTCCTGAACAGTTACTGTGACCACTTGATCAAGTCCTGAACAGTTACTGTGACCACTTGATCAACTCCTGAACAGTTACTGTGACCACTTGATCAAGTCCTGAACAGTTACTGTGACCACTTGATCAACTCTTGAACAGCTACTGCGACCACTTGATCAAGTCCTGAACAGTTACTGTGACCACTTGATCAACTCCTGAACAGTTACTGTGACCACTTGATCAAGTCCTGAACAGTTACTGTGACCACTTGATCAACTCTTGAACAGCTACTGCGACCACTTGATCAAGTCCTGAACAGTTACTGTGACCACTTGATCTAGTCCTGAACAGTTACTGTGACCACTTGATCAAGTCCTGAACAGTTACTGTGACCACTTGATCAAGTCCTGAACAGTTACTGTGACCACTTGATCAAGTCCTGAACAGTTACTGTGACCACTTGATCAACTCCTGAACAGTTACTGTGACCACTTGATCAAGTCCTGAACAGTTACTGTGACCACTTGATCTAGTCCTGAACAATTACTGTGACCACTTGATCAAGTCCTGAACAGTTACTGTGATCACTTGATCAAGTCCTGAACAGTTACTGTGACCACTTGATCAACTCCTGAACAGTTACTGTGACCACTTGATCAACTCCTGAACAGTTACTGTGACCACTTGATCAACTTCTGAACAGTTACTGTGACCACTTGATCAAGTCCTGAACAGTTACTATGACCACTTCATCAAGTCCTGAACAGTTATTGTGACCACTTGATCAAGTCCTGAGCAGCTACTGTGACCACTTGATCAAGTCCTGAACAGTTGCTATGACCACTTGATCGACTCCTGAACAGTTACTGTGACCACTTGATCATGTCCTGAACAGCTACTGTGACCACTTGATCAAGTCCTGAACAGCTACTGTGACCACTTGATCGACCCCTGAACAGTTACTGTGACCACTTGATCAACTCCTGAACAGTTACTATGACCACTTGATCAAGTCCTGAACAGTTATTGTGACCACTTGATCAACTCCTGAACAGTTACTGTGACCACTTGATCAACTCCTGAACAGTTACTGTGACCACTTGATCAAGTCCTGAACAGTTGCTATGACCACTTGATCAACTCTTGAACAATTACTGTGACCACTTGATCAAGTCCTGAACAGTTACTATGACCACTTGATTAAGTCCTGAACAGTTACTGTGACTACTTGATCAATTCCTAAACAGTTACTGTGACCACTTGATCAAGTCCTGAACAGTTACTGTGACCACTTGATCAACTCCTAAACAGTTACTGTTACCACTTGATCAACTCAACCGTTACTGTGACCACTTGATCAAGTCCTGAGCAAATACCGCGAATGGCTTCTTTAAGTATTGATCAGCTTCTTTGATCTCATGATTAAGTATTGATCAGCTACTGTGACTTTGCTGTTGAAGGGTTCTTCATCGAATGAACCCATGGTAATTGAGCAATAATAATAATAATGATAATAATAATAATAATAATAATAATAATAATAATAATAATAATAATAATAATAATAAATATTATTACCTATCTCTCTGCCTTCTCCGTTAGTAGAATATAGGTTGATGAGTATCACCTAGAGAGGATGAGTCACCAAGAACATGGTGAGTCTAAAATTGACCCACCATGACGGTGTAAGTCTGCGGTGAGTCACCAAGACAATGAGTGTAGAGACGTAAGTAGCTTAACAGGCTGTGAGTAACTAGCCAGACAGGCTGTGAGCAACTAGCCAGACAGGCTGTGAGTAACTAGCCAGACAGGCTGTGAGCAACTAGCCAGACAGGCTGTGAGTAACTAGGACACTGAGAAACAATAAGAAGCGGACAGATGCAATGCATGTACAGTAATATTAAGATGTAGTGACCAGTGTGGGTCACCAAGACAGGCCAGTGTGAGTCACCAGGACATATTAAGTCTAATGAACGTCATAAATACATATTTAATCTAGTGTGAGTCACCAGGACAGGTTAAGTCTAATGTACGTCTTAAAGACAGATTTAATCTAGTGTGAGTCACGAAGACAAACAGATTGAGTCTAGCGTGAGTCACCAAGACATACAGATTGAGTCTAGTGTGAGTCACCAAGACATACAGATTGAGTCTAGTGTGAGTCACCAAGACATACAGATTGAGTCTAGTGTGAGTCACCAAGACATAAAGATTGAGTCTAGTGTGAGTCACCAAGACATACAGATTGAGTCTAGTGTGAGTCACCAAGACATACAGATTGAGTCTAGTGTAAGTCACCAAGATATGTTTAGTCTATCATGGGTCACTAAGACAGTACGACGGACAAGGTATACTACAGGTTGTGTCAAGTCAGTGCTAACATTATCAACAAGTGTTGCAGGTAAAGCCTTCACCAGGTAGCAACGATTAAATCAAGCCATACTTTAACTGGGGTTTAACACCTTTCAACACTAACATATGAATATACAAAAAAAAACTTTAGGCTACTCAGAAAAGTAGGTATCTCCTCAGAGAAAAAACATAGTTTAGAAAAATCACTGTAAAATATTTCTACATTCCATGCAGATTTATACAAAAATAAACACAATCGTATGGACGTGGTCATTTCTAGATACTCTCAGTTGGGCCGAGCCGGGAACTGAGGCATGCTGCTGATGCGTCTCAGTTGGGCAGAGCCGGGAACTGAGGCATGCTGATGCGTCTCAGTTGGGCAGAGCCGGGAACTGAGGCATGCTGATGCGTCTCAGTTGGGCAGAGCCGGGAACTGAGGCATGCTGATGCGTCTCAGTTGGGCAGAGCCGGGAAAATGAGGCATGCTGATGCGTCTCAGTTGGGCAGAGCCGGGAACTGAGGCATGCTGATGCGTCTCAGTTGGGCAGAGCCGGGAACTGAGGCATGCTGATGCGTCTCAGTTGAGCAGAGCCGGGAACTGAGGCATGCTGATGCGTCTCAGTTAGGCAGAGCCGGGAACTGAGGCATGCTGATGCGTCTCAGTTGGGCAGAGCCGGGAACTGAGGCATGCTGATGCGTCTCAGTTAGGCAGAGCCGGGAACTGAGGCATGCTGATGCGTCTCAGTTAGGCAGAGCCGGGAACTGAGGCATGCTGATGCGACTACAACAAAGACATTCTGAACAAATATTGGAATTTATATATGGTATCCTACCCAGCATATTATGTATTAATGTTTCCTTAAACCTTATATGTCTAAAAATAAGATTTTGTTTCTAAATATTAGCAAATTATAAGTTACTCTCATCTAGAACTGAGTGATTATGAGTTAAAGTAATGCCAAATGCGTAATTCTAAACATGTGGTGTGTCTATGTCTATGGTAAAAACAATCTAAGAATGAACTCTAGAAAACAGTAAGCTAGGTTATAAGATTAGAGTCTTCAAGAAAAGATCTCTCTACTGCGTCAGCTTGAGCTCAATAAACTAATAAGTAATCTTCAGGCACTTCAGTTTTTATTTGATATGTTCCTGATTAATAATTATTTCTGGCATGGCAGTTCGTCGTTAGCTCCTAGGAATAGTTTAATTTTTAAATGTGAATTTGAGAAACTTAAGGGAAAAACTGATACCATTTTGAGAAAATAATATGATGTGGAGTTATTTACACTACATGGGATCTACTTGGGGAATTTTTCTTTAAATTGGAAAAGGCAAAAGAAATACTTAGGTACGTTTTGTTAGAAAAAAATAAAAGTTTTCGTTCTCCTGTTGGTTTAAAAACTGTTTCTGAAATTTAACTCTTTTATACAAAATCTTCATTAGCACTGTACCCCACTGAGAGAATATTTGGAATACCATGTTTACATAAACATTTCCATATACTATTATTAATCAAACAAAACACAAAAGCAAGCCCATTAAATCTCTTAAAGTTTTGCACCGAAAGTTTTTATTTAAACTTAGGAAAAAGGCACAGTGTTGATGAAGAAATTTTTGTTTTTTGGATTCTTAAAATAATAGCATTTCAGGCCACAGCAGTTGCAGTTAGTAAACACTCTCTACCTGTTCGTTCCCAGATTCTCGGATGTGATGCTGTTGGGAGAGGAAATAAAAGTGTCAACACGAGTTCGGGAGCTGTGTTGACTGCAGAAGTTCAGGGCTCAGTTGAGAACAGCAGAAGTGGGGCTCAGATTGCTGAATGTGGCGGGAATGGGCTCACCCTTAATTATAGCAGCTAATTATACCAATGTGCTTTTGTGGCAGCTTATGAACATGCACATTCAGGCAGGAATATTCAACTATTTTAGAGGTAATCAATAAATATTATACTTAATAAATTTTGATAATAAACGTTAGTAATTATTTATATATGTTTTCAAAATATTAGCTGCCACAAAATATCTTGGAAAGCTGGACTATAGCTCTACGAAATGCCGTCCATATTTTTGAGCAGCTGATGATATAAACACCAAAATATAAATGTGTTTCCACCAACTTCTTTTTAAGAACTGATAATCACTGAAAATTTTCCAATCAATACTGAAACAGACTGCATCATCTTCGTTTCTGAAGGCTGAAGCTAAGACTTTAGCGAACTTTTTGTAATGACAGTAACTTAAGACCAACAGTGAGTCTGTCAAAGCTGTGAAGAAAATGTGGACGACTGACATTCAATGGACATCACTTCCCTGTGTTATATTTGGGGAATACACCGTAAGCTTTATATTTTTTACATAAAAAGTATATTGATATCTATCTTAAAATAGTAACATTATATATATATATATATATATATATATATATATATATATATATATATATATATATATATATATATATATATATATATATACATACAAGATAGCCACAAAAGCAAGTGTTATCAAATATGCAGGATAACCACAGTGATAACACAGTCAAAGGTAATCTAAACACTTTCAACCAATGGGGAATTTCCCTCCGCCTCTGTTAAATTCGTTTATTAAAACAATACACTTGAATAATTAAAAGAGCAACTATTTCTCACAACATAATTTTATTTAATCAAAGCAAAAACTGATCTTATGGAATATACGATTTGAAATGTTGTATATAACAAATGAAATTTTAGTATTATGTTTATGAATAACATTTGAAACTGCTGGTACACCCAAAGTACAGGATAGAGTATATATAAAAACTCATGATAAAGGCGTTTTGGTATCGCTAATACAAGCATTGTATTCACGGTTTAAATTCTTTGTTGTTTTGCCGAGGTATGAACATATTAAGCCAAAAATATCCATATTAGTTCCATTATTCAAGATTCAGTACCATTCCCTACCGAAAAGTTATTAGTAAGTAGCAAATGGTGTTGTTAATGGCCAGTCAATATGACGTGAAACCCTTGCAATATAGCACATGAAACCTGAAAAAAATTAAACAATATTTTTACCTGTTTGAACTCAATAACGTTAAACATAATCAATGCACGAAATTTTAAAGACATACTCTGAAAGGGAAATTTGTCCATTTTTTTGATTTGTGAACATTTAATAGAGCACTTAAAAGTTATCTGCACACTTTCAGCAGTTTGTAACTTAATGCAAAAGGTCTTCTGAGAAAGACCAAATTAACTGGTGAGATAAGACGTGAATGACAAGTATGACTGATTTGAAACAAGTTTTTTTTCGTTTTTGCAAACATTTAATAAAAGGCTCAGGGTACGGTTTATAATTCTTATATTATGAAATTTGGATATTATGAAATTACTTAATTTTATTGTTATGGGTATCACAACAATCCAATGATTCTTAACATTGCTAACATCCCAGATCTGTGACGTCATTCGATTTTTTTTTAGACTAAGCACACAGCCCGCATGTAAGACTTCATTCTAATTAATTATGTTACGCTACGGTTACGACCGTTTTACACTATGATTATCCTGCATATATATATATATATATATATATATATATATATATATATATATATATATATATATATATATATATATTATATATATATATATATAAACACCTTCCAGTAGGAAAAAAAGTGGCAAAAGTGTAAAATGACAATCTAGGAAAATAGCATAGAATTTAAAAATATCACAAAAATGCGTCACCGTCCTATGGTGATGTTGTGGTTTATATCATTACCAAAAAACAATATTTATGTTTTTATCACATATCTGAAGTTCAGAATAAAGCTAGATTAAGTGTCTTTAAAATATTTTAACTCACATTAAAGTCAAAAGCAATATTTACAGCCACTGACAGCACACATCACACAGTCTCGCTCAAGCACAGGACACACGAAGAGGAATAGTGAACAAAATATATCACAACAGATAGGATGTGCAAACATCTGATATAATAAAGGTAAAAATTTTTTTTTTTTTTGTAAAACTGCAAAAGCACACAATGACACCACGACGAAGCAAGCAAAGGAAACAGGGTGAAAATACTCGGATAGAAGTTCATTACCAATCAAAAATAAAGTCTGGAATGCTTGAACTTCCAGCTGCTCAGAACAGGAGGGCCTTGGTTAGCATTATAACAAGATACATGTTCAACTGATGCATAAGACACATTTGAAACACTTAGGTATCTTCATCTTCATCTTCAGTAGAATACTGCTGAATTTAACACTGGGGGCAGTAGAAGTTGTTTTGACGTGATTAGTCCGTCATTCTCGGTGAGAGGTGGTCAGTCCCTTAAGGTTAAGCACTGATATGAGGCTTGTATCTTCTTTGCTAAGGAATTGTTTTCCATGACTTCCACTCGTCAGCGACGCTCACCCGAGATGTCATTCCAGCTGCTTCATCTCGTCTCTTGTAAATAAGATCTGATCACGTCCCACCGAGGGCGACGGACTGATCATGTTAAAACAACTTTTACTGCTTCGAGTATTATATTACCTTACACCCTACTGTAGAAGTATGTTGTGCAGGCGAAACGTTTTGGCAATAAATATACACAGGTGCTGCAAATGTGTTTTATTCGTCAACTTGTCGGTAGTGTATACTATCAACAATGATACATGTTCCTGCTGTCTAACTTGAAAATCTTAATTAAGGCGTCTGAGGCTCCAAGACCCTCCTTCACATGGAACACAGCAGTAGAAGATTCAAGGGATTTACCAGAGACGTTGACACCCTCGAGGCACCACTCACACATGAACACACTTTCACACACACACTCCTTTGGATCACAGACATGATGGGGCTACACTTGACCAGGAGGTAACAGCACTTACCCTTGACGGAGAAGTCCTGGCGCTCGATAGTGTAGTAGGTGAGAGGTAGACCACCGTCGTCCTTAGGTGGTCCGAATGTTATTAAGCATGACGTTGAAAAGATCTCAGACACCTGCAGAGGAGCACAAAAATTACACACCAGAAAGGCACAAAAGAAGAACACACTGGAGAAATACAAGAAAAGGAAATTAAATTAATTATCAGGAGGAAAAAATCGAAATAGTCTAGTAGAAAAACCGCTGTAGGAGGAAAAAAAAAGATGAAAATAAAAAAAAATGTATAAGAGGAGCAAAAAAATCAGGAGAATTCAGGATAGAAATGAAAGATAGAGGGAGAGAGAGAGAGAGAGAGAGAGAGAGAGAGAGAGAGAGAGAGAGAGAGAGAGAGAGAGAGAGAGAGAGAATAAGAGGGTGACCCAGTAGCAGTACCTCAATATTGGTAGGCGGGCTTGGCTTATCTTGCATGTTGATCCTGACTTCCTTGCTACTCTCGCCGGCTTTGTTGGACATCCTGATGACGTATTTCCCGCTCTGGTCCCTACTCGGTTTCTTGATGGTGTAAACGACCTTCTTATCCAGTATGTTTACCTCAACATCCTTGACGTTCATAGGCTTGCCGTCCTTCAGTAACTTGGCCTCCACCTTAGAGATCCTCGAGCCGGGAACTGAGAAACAGGGAGAATGTGTAGGAGCTGTTTAGGCTTCGGTTCCTTTAAGCTACTGTAGAACAGTGCTATATATTTAATTTTGCAAAACCTTTGCTCTATTGATGGTCACAGACATACTTTTGGCTCCGAGCAGGTATGAGAATACAATAAATATTCATTGCCATGCTCGGACATTACTGTATTTATTTATGTCCAACTGCGTATGCAAAATTATAAAACCGGAAACAGCGTAGCACATGAGAGAAGAGCCGCTCATGGACACTACGTGAAATACATGTTAGGTCAATCACTGTGTAAGCAGGACTGTGTGGCGTTCACACCTGATCCAGCAAGTGCTGGATCAATTTACTTCTGAGGCTGAGATTAAAGCACTATGAAGAAAAAGGGATGGAACTGAACCTAATGTAATGAGGCACCTGTGCAACACATGTGCAACACTTGTGTAGGTTTGTTGTCGAAATGATTCGCCTGAACTGAAGGCTTCTTTGGTAGAATTTTGAACCGACCACTTCCTGAGAGGTGGTCAGTCCTTCAGACCGAGGGACTGGCCATATATCAAGACTGAGGGACTGATAACCTCAAAATTACTTTTTCTACTGTCCAGCGTAGAAGAAGCCAGCTGCACCGAAACGCTGCAGAAGTATCCTAGTTATCAACAAAGGTGCCTAGAAAAAAAGTGGTCAGTTCGTTTCCCTTACTTTAAAGGAATGACTGCTGCCTTCTATCGACGCTGAGGGACTGATCACCTAATAATTACATCTCCACTTATTCCAATGTCTCCAGTATTATAAGCACCTCTGTTAAAAAAAGCCACTTGAAAAAAAAAAAGCCAGGTGATGAGGCGCAAAGTTTCGACAGTGAGGATACTCATAATACAGAGGAATTCTTAGTACAGTGCCGTTCTTCTTTGTATAATAATTTTAAAACCTATTTATATTCATAGCGCACTGCCGCTCAATGCTTCCAGTGACGCCGAAGACATGAACTGGTTAATAGTGACTGCGATCCTGCACCGCAGTATAACATGATAATCTTATGCTGCAAATTGATTAAACATGTGACTCTGGCTTCTTGAGTTAATTTCCTTGTGAATATGACTATCAGTTCACTTTATTTTAATGAATGACCTTGTGCTTTTAAACATTGAGTCGTATGACCATGAATGACAGAACTAATATTTTTTTGATTAAACATAAGTCACTACAGGACTCACTTGTGTAAGGAACCTCGAAGACCAGAGGCTTGGTCACTGGCCCTTCAATGGGTTCCTCCGGCTTGATGCTGGGCGGCTTCTCTCCCTCGCCCACACTCAGCTGGCAAGCCGTCTCCAAGTTCCCGCACACGGCCTGCAAGCACAAACACTACATGTTGGTGACACTCCAAGACGGTGAAACCACCAGCACGTTTTATTTGCTTGCAGTGTGGCTCCAGGTGCCGACATTTGACGCCCGTAACCATAAATAGGTGCGCGAGAACTGGTGAGTATATGATAAATTCAAAGCTACGATGCCCATTTTTACTTTATAAGCCCATTTTCAGTTTTTAGCTTAGATATTTCTCTGTAGCTATACAACCTCAATCATCATTTGATGAGAGATGATCTAACCTTAATTTCTCCCTCGTGGGCAGTGGCGGCTTCCTTAATGATGAGGCGGTGTACGGCGCCATTCTTCTGGATCTCATAGTTATCTCCTTCTGTCACCTCCTTGCCATTGATGAACCACTGCAGAGGAGCGTTGGGGTCCACTAGCTCTACTTCGAACGTCGCCGGCTGCTTCTCGTAAGTCATCTGATCTTGTAGCTTCTTCTTGAACTTATTCTCATCTGTGGAAGGTCAGGGAAGAGTCAGGTGGGACTTATATGTCTCCAGGTAGAAATGTATGAATTTCCAGGAGTGCATTTGACTAGCTTTGAACACAGTTTGCACACACTGCTGTCAGTTATTTTTACCACCTGCCACCCAGCACCAGCCACTTATAAATATCTGTTCTTACTACACTGAAATTATTTCTTTATCCACTATATAAAATTTACGAGTATTTATTCCTTCCCTTTATCAGTTCCTCCCAACATATTACCTGCAATTTACGAACACCTATTCCTCTCCACAATACCTGTCACACACGAACGTTTGTTCCTTTTCGCTATGCGAACATTCCTACAAAATAGCAATAACTACCTTTTCCGAGGCCCTTTCCAATTTTCAGCGAAGTACATTAACTTGAGACTATTTTGTTCCTTCCCACCGATCTACCCATCATCATTACCACTTGTCTCTACCCGCTAACCAATCATTTCACCACTTCTACCAAATGTATTTTCCCACTACCCACCACTTATCTCACCCCCACTGTTTTGTTTACCCACAACCTGCCCCTTCCCTCGCCACCATTCATCACTGCCAATATCCACTTACACTGAACAATCAGCTCGCAGGTGGTCTCGTCAGCATTTGTCTTGCAGGTGTAGTTGCCTGCATCGTCCATGGTAATGCTCTTGAAGACCAGCTGTCGTTTCTTGCCATCCTTCATGATCTTGATGCTGTGGTAGCAAAGGATGAGAGTTAGTCCAGCTCCTCCGGCACACACACTTACTAGTGGAAGTCGGCACACACACACTAGCAACCCCCCTCCAGTTGATGCTATTTAGAATGAAACCCGTGACAAAAAATCTCAAGGGAGCCATGTTCATTGTACAGGTGGCCGAGATGGCCTGACTGAGTTCTCAAACCAGAGTGTCAGGGACTCGCAAGATCAATTTCGAATCCTAAAAAAATAAGAGCCTAAGAATATTTCCAGCTAGGGCATATTTTAGTTTTGACGTTTTTTTGGGGGATCTCTTTACGTTTAGATCGAGCCAGCCGAATGAGCTATCACATCTTCAAACAGGAGAAATATTTTAAGCGACCAGGTCTTGTGAGTATCTGGGTTCAGAATCTCGGATTTAAAACGTGAGGGAGAAACCAACTGGAGAAGATTGCATTATCAAGGCCGTCAACCACACTGGTCCATGTGATGTAGATGGTCTCTCAAACTTTCTGTACTGTGTCAGGTGTTTTGTTGGTCGGGGTCAATTATATTTTTCATATTCCGTGTCAGATGCATTTTTTTTTTTGTCTGTCACTTTTCACACTTCGTGTCAGGCTTGTCGTTGCTTGTCTTCCCTCAAGTTGTGACCCCCCCAAAAAAAAAAAAATACTAAATAAGGGAGCCAAAATATTAAGGACTATGGTCCATAAAAATATAAATGGACTGCACACAAAAATAGATTTGGAAGCAAAAACATAAAATAAAAATATTCAAAAGATTCACAGCTCACACACAAAAATAGTTCGTGCTCAAGGTGCTGTATTTGCTATACTGGATGCTCACTTAGTGGCCTCAGAAGCAATTAAAGTATTTGATGCTTGCTGAGTGGCCACACCAACAGTGTAATACGTGATGGGTGTTTGGTGTCTTCAAATAACAGTATAATATGTGATGGCTGTTTAATAACCACAAAAAAAAACAATTAAATATGCTATGCTTGATGAGTGGACTCAGGAATGGTAGAATGTTATGTTCGTTGTGGCCACAAGCAGTATGGTGTCTACTGAATGTTCTCAGAAACACTGAAATATGTGAAGCTCGCTGAGTGTCCCTAACAGTGAATGTGATGCTTGATTAATAGTCACAGGAACAGTGGAATATACTATGCTTATTGAGCGGTTCCGCGAAAAAAAAAATAGAATATAATATGTTTGGTATGTGACCTCAGAAGTCGTAGAATATGTGATGCTTGCTGACTGTTCCTACATACAGTGGAAAATGTGACGCTTGCTGAGTGGCCTCAGGAGCAGAATACATAAATGCTCCCTGCGGAGCATGGACTACAGTTATGTACACAAAAAGGTGTATGTCTGTCAGAGTATATACACTGAAAATTTACTCCAATCCTTATTTTAGGGATTAGAGTGTTCTTGACTGGTGGTGAACAGGTTACATGCAGCCTTAATGACCCTCGCATAGTCTATAGGCTTTCAACCTAATTAACCAACCAGCATGGACCGCATTCCGCAACCGGTGACCTGTTTACCTCTGCCTCTCTACCTCTGGCATGCTAAGTACAAGACGTGGAATAACATAAATATTAATAATCACACATACCGTAATGTTTCAAGACAGATTACAAAAGTACAAAGTTTTACTACGTAACAAAACTACTCACAATTACTAAAGATACAAAAATACCCAGGTAGAGAGGCAATCATAAATTAATTTAGCTGGAAGTTGAAATTAAAAATTTTTGGTCTCCAGCGACAGATGCGGATGGCGGCCCAGATCACGAACACAACTACGGTGGCTGAGCTGCAGTGCGAGAGCCTAGAAGCAACCTTGTTCCAAACACTGAGGAGAGTGACAGTTCAGTTCCAGTACTCACTAGGTGTGAACATGCTGAGGCGTTACACTTCTCAGCAGCTGGCACCAGCCAGACTGGTCCTCTAAGAAAACACACAATAGGCATGATGTCCTTTCCTTAGAGCCTGACTGGTACCACCCAACTGCTGAGAAGTGTAATCGCTCCGGCAATGTTCACACCTAGTTAGTGTTGGAGTTGGCGGCAGTGACTATTCTCCTACTCACCAGTGTCTGGAATAGGGAAAGCTGATGCTACCGTCCTGGACAGACAGGCAGGCAGACAGACAGACAGACAAACAGACAGACATATATTTCGTAATCGGGAGATGCAAAGCTAGAGCAGTAGAAAAGCGGGGAAAGGAGAAGCGACGTATATAGCTTCTTTAAACCACTGGTGTTGCGCCCAGTGATGTTCAGTGCTTAACTTGAAGTTTTAGTTTTATCTCGGTATCGGTTTAATATCTTCAGTTTAATGTTGCTAATTCGTTTTACTGATTTGATTGAGTCAATATATTTGTTTAAAACTCGTGATTTATAAAGTTTTATGAGGAAGATTTACTACTAGGTTACCAGGTGTTGAGTCTGGGCCTTGCGGGATCTGCTGGCGTCCAGACAGATGGTCGGACTGAGCGGAAAATGAATTAAATGTTAAGAGAGAACAAATGAAATGGATACCAAGGCCAAATTGTCCATTGGTGACACCTGGAGACACCACTCATTTACCTTTCGGCGCGGAGCGACGCACATGCTTGAGATCTGCGAGAGGGCAACACCATGTCAACAGTGATATGGCAGTCCAAGTATTCCTTGGCTTGTTTACATCGTGAGCGACAAGATGAGGCAAAGCCGTAGCTGTTTACTATAGCTACACTCACAGTAATGATGCACACCTCCAGCTAATGTACCACAGCAAGAGTTGTATAGCTATACCAGAGAGCTATAATTTCTATAAAAGAATATTTATACAGGTCTTCAGATAATGATGCAATCCACTGAAAATAGATTACTAAAAAAGTCTGAATATGTCTGAATTATGTTAGCTGTTTCGTCTATCACATGGTCAATGTTGACCTCTAGTTCCTGTAATATCTGGGCACAATTAAACTACTTAATCATCTCTAAAAATCCACACAAGAAACAAAAGTCTCTGGGAGGAATCCCAAAGACTTTTTTTTTCCTTGTGTGGTCACTGGCATTTGGCAATGTTCCTCCGACTCCATGTAATGCATTGGTTGCCTTATTTTCTTAACACCCTTGCAATAATGCAATGGTTGCCTCAATTTCTGAACACCTTTGCAATAATGCAATGGTTGCCTCACTCTCTGAACACCTTTGCAATAATGCAATGGTTGCCTCACTTTCTGAACACCTTTGCAATAATGCAATGGTTGCTTCACTTTCTGAACACCTTTGCAATAATGCAATGGTTGCTTCACTTTCTGAACACCTTTGCAATAAAGCTCAAACTGCTAAATTGGGTCTGTCACATCTTGTCGCTACGAAAAAAACTTGTCTGGAGAGTTTAATAAAAAATAAGGCTAATGAAAATAGCTGACAGACGAGAGAAGAGATGGACTTGTAACTACACAGACATATAACACTTGGAAGATGATAGTTCATGAAGAGGAGAATACACAGAAATATGTCTTAATATAAAACTAATTCTCAAATTAATTCGCACTGTCAGCATATATCTATTGAGACATATTACACATACACACTCACACACATACAGGCGGGCCACACACACACACACACACACACACAGAGTGGGACCAGGAGCTGTGACTCGACCCCTGCAACCACAATTAGATGAATACACACAAAAAACGCACACACACACGCACACATACATACAGACGCAAATATATTTCTTTAACCCAGAAGAATTAAAAAAACCGAATTATCTAAAAGATAAAATGTGTCGATATTTTTTATTAATGTACAATTAACATAGGTTGAATTTTCTTTTTGATTTTTACTCTGCAGAAAATCTATCATAACAACCTCACTTAAACTGGTTGGAATATTATATAATATAATCCTAGTTTAATTTGGTTAATATTAACTTCATTGAAATATTATATTTCTGTGATATTCCGACGGATTTTTGACAGAGTTATAAGAAAAATTTGTATATGTTCGACTTGTCTGGCACAACGACTGATGCAGAATATATTTTAATTAACACATCTGCCACTTCCCACCGAGGAAGGGTGACCCGAGAAAGAAGAAACACCTTCATTATCACTCCAGCACTGTCTTGCCAGAGGTGTTTCAGAGTGCAGGCACTGTACTTCCCACCTCCAGGACTCAAATCAGGCTAACTGGTTTCCTTGAATCCTTTCATAAATATTACCTTGCTCATACTCCAACAGCACGTCAAGTCATTAAAACCATTTACCACCACACGCTCCTAACACGCTCACGCACGCTTGCTGGTAGTCAAAGCCCCTCACACACAAACCTTCTGCTCAAAATGGCGTCATTGCATATTAGTGTCGTGAACAAGATTCTAACTCATTCCGATAACATTTTCAGCTTTGAGAGAGATTTTGGTATATATGAATACGAGGAACAATCTAATTACTGTAATTTTAATTAACTGTTCTAGCTTCATAAATGAGAAAGTCTAAGCACCTAACTAATACTGAATACAGTATGAAAACTGCTTAAAACGGCAACGACTGAGTAGGTAAACGTACGCTTTGCTATCAGGTGTCAGTTTCTTGTCCCCGTAGAACCACTCTACCTCAGCCTCGGCCTCGTCCACATCGCACTCAAGAACGACTTTGTGATTCTCGGTCACCGTCTTGGACTTGAGCTGCTTAGTGAATTTGAAAGGCTGATCTGGAAGCAGACGGAAAGAGGAATGAGTTTTAGGATTGTTGGCCATATTTTCTTAATTTAATTGATAGTAAGATTAATTTCACCGCAAACTAACATAGTTATTCAGTTCAACACCTGAAACGTTTTTGGAACATGTAAAGTTTACAACTTCTTAATCCATGATATGATAGTTTAGAACATCTCCAAGTTCTTATTTTATTAGGATCCGGAAGCAACTTTCTCATAAATTCCCGAGACAATAATTTATACAATCCAGGGCACAAGAGTCTTGCAATTTCCCAAGCTATATATTTAACTGGACACAATTATATTGAGAACTATCCAGGTTCTCAGCCTATATGTCCAGGACTCGAAGATCTCCAAAGCCACTTACCAACGATGGTAAGCAAGGTCTCAGTGGCTTCCTTCTCGCATCTGAAGATCTTGGCTGTGTACTTGCCCTTGTCTTTCTTGCTGGCGTTCTTAATGGTGAGACGAACTGTGCCCGTCATGTCTTTGTAAGTTTCGAACTTTTCGTCTTCCTGCCATCAGAGAGTAAACTTGGTAATTTTGGTTTATTCTAACTACCAAATAGATGCCATTGTCGTAGTTTTCCTATATCAAAGAACCCCCGTCCTTTGATATTGGCATTATATAAAAAAAAACCGTTTCCGCATTCCAGAAGACCAAATTCAAACAAAGAATAACTTCTGTAACCTCATTCGTTTTAAAATATGTAAGTTGTAATAATGATACATCGATCGGCAACATTTTAGGTAAAAGGACACATGTACAAGTAATGTGATATTTTATTGTGGCAACGTTTTGCTCTCCAGAAGCTTCACAAAACTCCTCGACAGCAAAACGTTACCACAGTAAAACGTCACATTAGTTCTACATGTGTCGTTAAACCCAACAAAAAACTTTTACAAAAAATACAAAGAAAACAAATCAACAGATTTAACTCAGAGATGTTATAATAAATAAAAATTGCGTTATATTGATGAGAAAGTGGAATTAATTTGTAATAATTATACTTCACAAAGAGAAATTTGCTTAACTGTTGAAAATATTTCTACGTTACCTCAATTTTCTCGTCTCCCCTGAACCAGTGGACGATGGCTTTGTGGGAGTTGACCTGAGCCTCGAGGGTTGCGTCTTTGGTAGTGTAGCTAGAGATCTTTTTAGGCAAAGGCCGCACAAATTTGTAGTCAGGATCAGGCTCTGAAGGAACGAAACCATGTTAGACATGATAGGCTGAATGGGGCCAAGCAGGATAATTGTGAGAACTGTATTAACAAGCAGATTATATCAAGAAACAGATACTGCAATAAAGAATCTTCTACATTTACTTTAGCTAATTTCTGTCTTATTCCTTTGCGAAAACATCACTTATAAGAATTAGCGATGAGAACGGACCTAAAACATATGGTAAAGCAATCATTACTAAAAGGGATGGCCGTAACCAAACTTATGACTCACGAAATCGCAATAACAAAATTGCAAACAAATCTCAGAACGAGTGGTGATCGAACTCATGGCAGGCGAGTTCTAAAACTCACAGACAAGTCTGTTTAACCACACTTGTTGTCACAGTGGGGCCCATGCTAACATGACTACAAGTGTGGAAAAGGCACTTATGTATAGTTATAGACATTTATTGCAGGAAACGTTTCACCACGAGATGCTTCTTCAATCGTGGCGAAACGTTTCCTTTAATAAATGTCCTGAACTATACATAAGTGCCTTTTTCCACATCTTGTCGCTATCACCATACCATTTCCCAGTTGACTATAGGACTCGCCTGTGTTGGGTTCGAGCTCCACCCGTTCTGTGATTTGATTCTAAGAACATTAAAGGACGACAAAGATTAAATTGTACATTACACAGCACTGACCATTACAAAGATATTTAAATCTATTCCTAGTATTTATCGAATAATAAGCCTAAATCCAGCAATTTATAATTTCATGTATACATGTAACTCGAACTGGGCAACATTTAGCGAACCATACATAAAAATTTATCAGCGTGGCCTATGTAGAAATCGTTCATATTTAACAAATCTTTGTCACTGTAAATAAAACAGTAGTGATGCGATATACCAAGACCTTCCTAAAATCCTTATAACAGATATATTTCAAAATTTAATCCAAGCGGTATAAGTAATCATCCGGACGCATACAGAAAATGCCAGTGACTGACTAGACATAATGCCCTTGGCGTCAGTTTGGGTACTCTACATGTCAAAGGGGCCAGCAGTGACACCAAACATGCCACAGATGTCACTCTTAGAAGCCGTCCAGTGCCAGATTTTCATATCAGTAGTGAGTTATTCTGTTTAACATCAAAATAGTGTGAAATTGGAAAAAAAAGTGTTCACAGTATCCTATAAAACAGAAAAGTGGGCCCATATAAAAAGAATAATCCAAGAAAAAGTTATAGGGTCATTTAGTTGTATTAATAAACATTAACATGGAAGTGTAGGCTAAAATAAATTCAATATCAAAACAGTAATGCAGAAATATATCTCCCATTATAATGAAATATATTAATCCCTAATTGCACAAAGCATGCACTAATTAGTCATCATTTCGGAATGCACTCACTCTCCATCAGTGTGAACTATATTCTGTATAATATATTCGTTCATTTGAAATAAAATCGTGTCAATGTTAATGACATGACATAATTTACGTTTGATAAGACAACATTTCAGAATATGTGTGATCTGGGACAACAGTTCGGAGTCTATCACAAACTTGTTAATTCAGTAGTCGTTCAAGTTTCTATATCATTAATGTTATGCAGCCAGTTGGAACATGACAGACTTCAGCACTGGAGGAACGTAAACTTATCAACTGACCTTTACTCTGAAACTGGAAAAAAATGGAGTCAATGTAAAGGATTCAAAGATATATTTAAGTGAAATGTGAAGACTTACCCTGGACGGTGAGGATGGCGGAGCAGGAGATACCCATGCACTCCACCGTGTATCTTCCCATGTCGTCCACTGTAGGCTTGCTGATCACAATGCTGTGTACGCAGCCCTCAGACTTGAACTTATATTTGGATCCAGAAAACAGCTCCTATGAGAGATGTAAAAATACGGTAAGTTTCTTATTGTTTAATTACTTAAGTGTAGTTACCTAAACCAGTTTGTTGGTATTGAGTCATAGGACTTGCCACAACTTTTAACTTCATATTGGATGATGTAATGTCTCCATCACATCTGTTTTTAGATATGTGAAATTGTTGAGCTTGCACAGTCGTCTCCTTTCATCTTATCTACGGTTATATGTCTCCATCTTTAATCTTTCAACTAATGAGCCATTTACAGTATTTTCAGTCTTCATAATTCATATATTTTAGAATTGGAAAAAATTTGCATTTTCTAGATATGATTTACTTAGGTGCAGTTATGCCTTACCGCTGCATATTTCAATTTTGATCTACCTCATTCTCAGAACTGCACTTTTTTGAACCTCTCACAATTTTTATATCTGAAAAATGTTATGAAGCTTCTCACTTCTGTATTTATGTGATCTTATGGCAATTATTTATCTGTAGTTGTCTTAGTTCTCTCTCAGTATTTTCAACATTTTCCATATTTTATTACATAATTTATATTCTTCAATAAAATCCAAAATCTGTCTGTCATTCTTTTTTCCAAGTCTTCTAGTCGGATATACCTCTCTTTTTTTCGTAGTCTTTTTGGATTATCTTTTATTTTCTTAAGTATTCCTGAAAGAATTTCTTTAAGTGATTAAACTAATTACCTTTTCGTTTATAATTTAAGAACTCATCCAATTGGATTGAAACTTTCATTGCTGGTGATGTAAACAGAATAAGGTTCGTTTTACAACTATTGGCATTTGCAAGTGCCCTGTGATTAATTATAAGTGCCAATTCGAATATTTTGACTTTCAAACTGAGTTTTTTCTGTAAAAAATTGAGAAATTGTTCCTTCTGAATGTTTTTATTTCTGTAAAAAAAATTGAGCAACCGTTCCCTAATGAATGTTTTTTTTTTCTGTAAAAAAATGAGCAACCTTTCCTTCATGATTTTTTTTTCTGTAAAAAAAAAAATTGAGAAATCGTTCCCTTTTGAATGTTTTTATTTTTGTAAAAAAATTGAGCAACCGTTCCCTTATGATTTTTTTTCTGTAAAAAATTGAGCAACCGTTCCCTTCTGAATGTTTTTATTTCTGTAAAAAAATTGAGCAACCGTTCCCTAATGAATATTTTTTTTCTGTAAAAAAAATTGAGCAACCGTTCTTTCATGATTTTTTTTTATTTCTGCAAAAAAATTGAGCAACCGTTTCCTAATGAACATTTTTTTTTTCTGTAAAAAAGTTGAGCAACCGTTCCCTTCTAAATGTTTTTATTTCTGTAAAAAAAATTAGCAACCATTCCCTTCTAAATGTTTTCAGTCATTAATGGGTGATGTGGATACGCAGATACCCTGTAAGGTGTAAAATGCCAATTTACTAACATAGTTATTAAACATTTGCGAATCTTTACTGAGGAAACGTTTCGCCAGCCAGTGGCTTCATCAGTCCAATACAAAGAAGAACGGTGGAAAAAAAGAGGAGTTTGAGATAATCAGTCCCTCAGCCTGGAATCGATGTGTTCGCTGGCTGGCGAACCATTTTCTCAATAAAGACTCCTATATGATTCATAAGTGTCTCATTCTTCAACTTATCGGTTTTCTTAACCACTTATGACGAACCAGTAATTAATGTATTACCAGCAACACTTGGAAACGCCTCTTCTGATACACTCCTGACTTTCAGCAACTCTGGATCTTGCTGAACAAACAGTTCTCACTGATTTTTGGGATGTGTAAGTTTTACATTGCAAAATTATTGATCAAGCTTGTTTCAGTATAAACCTGGAAAATTCATACTGTGATGACATCAAACCTGAAACCTGAAACGTTGGTTTATCTTACGTAGATTAAGGTTTAGATTAATTTTGGGATTTGCAGTTACCAATTTTACAACTTCCTTGAAAAACCTGGTGAAGTTGAAATGATAGTTTTTTATAACAGAATTTTTAATGCCTCATCGGTTCATCTAACCTTAATTAACTGCTCCTTAGAGGGAGCAACAGACTGTGAATGGATTGTGTATATACATGTGCATACCAGTGTACATACCAGTGTACAGTGTACATACCAGTGTACAGTGTACATACCAGTGTACATACCAGTGTACATACCAGTGTACATACCAGTGCACATACCAGTGTACATGCCAGTGTACATACCAGTGTACATACCAGTGTACATACCAGTGTACATACCAGTGCACATACCAGTGTACATGCCAGTGTACATACCAGTGTACATACCAGTGTACATAGGCTTCCTTGCTTGGTATACCATAGAAAGTGTACAAATTATGGTTTCTTAAAAAAATATTACATTATTTTAGAGAACTAGAAACTGAATATATCTAAGACAATAAAACAGAGAAATATTGAAAAAAAAAACACGTTTTTTATGACCATAAAATTTGCAAGTTTACCGAGACATTTTTTTTTTTACTGATTTATTAAAGAAAGGGTTATATGCTTAGGAGAGTTATTGTATTCTCCAAAGTTATTGTTTACAACTTAAAAATGCTTAATCCTACCGGCTTCAAACTTTTCAGATGGCACCTGTTCAGTCAAGCACCAGTCAGAGTTTTCCACTAAGTAAGATATACCAATATCAAAAGCTATATTCAGTGAAAAATAACATACTCTAGTTATTGCACTAATACTTATTCAATTAACATGGGACTTTCACAGCAAAATAAAAACACGAACCAGCACTTTAAGTTGCAAGCTGCTTAAAAATAAATTTCATAAGTTATTGTACATAAAATAACATCCATCATTTTTTTTTATTAAAATTATAAACTGGAACCCACACATGCCAATAACAATCCAAGTTTTTGTTAAGAAGACGCCAGCAATGGAAGTTTCAAGCCAATCGAAGAGACTGTCTCAAGTTACCAGACGGAAAACAAATTCAGGTATGGCTTCATAAAATTGACAGAAAGACACCTGCCTCTCCCAATAGTTGCGAAAACTTTCATCAGTTTAGAATTCACCAACTCTGAGAAAATTTGATGGCGATCAGACCAGGTGTTCTGAAGTTATAAGCAACAACTTTGGAGGGGAAATAAAAATGAAACGTAACTTGTGTTTACCTGCTGAGGGGTACTTATTAAGAGGGGTACTTATTAAGAGGGGTACTTATTAAGAGGGGTACTTATTAAGAGGGGTACTTATGAAGAGGGGTACTTATTAAGAGACTCGTAAATTCCCCCGTCTTCCAATAACAAGTTAATTTTTCCACTATAATCCACCTTGTCCATAATTACTACAGCATTTGCCTCGTCTGTTTCGTGTATTGCAGAGATGTGAGTAAATGCGATAGTAATTATGAACAAGGTTGATTATAGTGAAAAAATGAACATGATATCAGAAGACGGAGGAACTTACGTGTCTCTTAACAACTATTGTAGTGATCCTTGTGGGATAAGGATAGAAATATTTCCCATTCGGGCATTTTCCTCCTACACTGGCTAACTGTTCTTAATGTGCATTTTATTCCTTTCATAATTTATAGTTCTCAGAGAAAGCTTTCACAGCGAAATGTATGGTTGCAGGGTTCGAGCCACAGCTCCTGGCCCCCGTGTGTGTGTGTGTGAGCGTGCACGCGTGTGTACGTGGGTGCGCTCACGCGCTAGCGCAAGCATGTGTATCTGCATTATTAACTGAATTTAGAGGCATTATAAATTACTTGTAAATAGAGAAATATAGAGATTAAACCTCACATAAATTCCTGACGGATATTAAAATTATGATAACATGTAAATATAGATATTAAGACATTTATAAGAAGACAATTCTGTAAATTCTTATAGAGTAATATTTAAACAAAATATCCAAGATCTAGCGATTAAATCCGATTCTCAAATAGAATAATCCATAATTTTATGGCTTAAGTTTTTCATACATAATGTACAGAAGTACTATCAAACTAAGTCACAGCTACTCACATCCTTCTTGAAGAACCACTTCGGTTTGGAGTCCTTCTTGGAGAACTCGCCCTCGAACTTAGCGAATTTCTCCTTGCCCTCCTTGACGGTGAGGTCGACCAGAGGCTTCACCCAAGACTCCTGCTTCTGCTCGGCCACAAGGGTGAGGGTGAGAAGAAAGACGGTATGAGCCAGGTGTGAGACTGTGCTGGTCATCAGTACCAGAGTCTTCCTCCACTTTTGTGTTACACACACATACACACACACACACACACATACATACACACACACACACACACACACACACACACACACACACACACACACACACACACACACATACACACAAAACTATGTAAGTCATAATAATCACGCTATAATATGAGAATCAGTGAGGGGGGAATCTGTTACTCATTAACCAGCGCTTTTAAGTGGTCATATGATCATTTTTTTTCTTAAGAAACAAAAATTTCTATCGTCTATGGTGCTCACAATGAACCTTTTCGAAATTTCTCTTTCTTTTATTTCCGAGGCTAAGATGCTGAACACAATTCCAGAAACTGTACAGAGTGAAAAGTTTCCACAAAATTCCCAACCTAATACTGAAATTTTGCATGATGCAAAAATTTCATGATTTGCACTTCTTGTATCATCATTTTGAAAAACAATGCATATTTAAACAAAGGTGGAGCTTTGTTAATGCAAGTAGAATTACCGTCAATATGATAATTAAAAGGACACAAGTAGAACTAAAGTGACATTTTATTGTAGCAACGTTTCACTCTCCGGGGGCCGTGTTAAATCGTTGATAAAACTCCTGGAGAGCGAAACGTTGCCTTAGTAAAATCACGTATTAGTTGCACTTGTGTCCTTTAGCCTATCAAAGATGTGGGTAGCCTGCGTAGGTGAAATTATGCTTAATAACAGTTAACGTGCTTAGGCGTGCGTGTGTTTATCCAGAGTAATAATTAATTTAGGATAAATAAGGATAAATTTGAGTTTATTAGGCTGAGGTTCACTGGTATATTTGAAATACACGGAGCAGAAGTAGCCTGAGTTAATGAGTATTCAAAAAACCATGTTCAAACGAAAAAAAACAATATTAAGTTGATCATTACTGAAAGCTTCCCACACAACACAGATTCTGACAGAATGTTCAACAATGACGTGAATCTTGTCATCTCAGAAAAGTGAACGTTTATTAACTTGGTACATACGTTAACAATGTCTTAACCTTCACAATAATCCAGGTGGGACACAATTAATAATAAAACTAATATTTAGCTATGAATAAGTGATATACTGAATAATGGTAATAATAATAATAATAGTAGTAATAGTTGTGGTAATAACAATAATAATAATAATAATAATAATAATAATATAAAAAATAATAATAATGATATAATATAATAATAATAATAATAATAATAATAATAATAATGATAATAATAATTAACCTGGGGTCAGAGAGTCATACTGTGACTCAGCCTATGAGTACACAATATCATAATGGATTATTTCACATCTAGATCAAGATCATGCGGACGTGCGTATAAATATGACGGCGATACTGATGCGGAGACACTGTAACCAGCGTCCCCCAAAAGGGTACCAATATTTACAGAAGAGAGAGAACAGATATAAGAATATAACATGCACACATGCCTTAAATCTATCTCATGCCTGCATCCTGCCACATCTAGAAAAGGAAAAAAATCTGCCAAAGTTAATGGCGTCTTGAAGTAATTGTTTCTTCCCTTGTTCCTGAGTTAGTGGAGATTAATTTATTTTTTTCCTACAATGAGTGTTGCGTATCTCATTTTTCTTCTTTATATGCATTACCAGAGGAAACTAAGTACAGCAATAATGTGATAATTTAATAAAGTTAAGAATTAAAATTTATCTGGTTATGTCTGATACTGTTGCAATTAGAGGTAAATTTTATTTTAAAACACAAGAAACAAAGGAAGAAATGTTGATATACTGTTGCCTGTGCATGATCAATTTTATCATACATAAACATGCAAAAAATTATCCAGGTTGGCTGGTGTTTATGAATAGGTTTAAGGTGTGTATAGTATTTATTTTTATATGTTTAGATTTGATATTTTAGAAAAAGGCCACTTTTAATTAAAATAAATCATATTTTAGGAGTGGTTTAATATTTATTTAAAGAATTTGTTTAGTGTTGGTGTGCCCGTGTAAGTGACACTGAGTCACTGGGTCACTTGATAGGTTAAAGTATTTGATTATTACATATATATTTTAATGCACGATTACGCAACTAATAGTTGTAATTAATGATACATAATTTTTGCGTTCCATGGGCATGTATCTAATACCGTCCATTAATAAAAAAATCTATAATTAATAGTAATGAATAATACATATCAAATAAGAGAGGCAGACGGTATTTCTTGCGCTGATATAATAAGAATGAATGAATGCACTTGTTCAAGCGTGCCAAACCTCGGTGCAGTGTTGCCAAACCTCGGTCCAGTGTTGAAGTTTTGGCCAATCGGGGATAAGGTCTGCGAGTGACTGCCTGCGGGGGTGGTCACCCTCCTGCACCGCAGAAAGAAACAATGTGGTCTTAGTTGGCTGAGGGCTGGCGGGGGCTGGGCAGGGAGATGATGTATTGATGAGCATCATCACACTTCTCAAGCGGGTTAGCAAAGACTCAAGCGAACAGTAAGAGGAGTGGGGGGGGGGGGGGGGGGCAGGGGGGTACTGTGGTAGAGGGGTTCCTATACCAAGATGCAGGAAGGGGCCAAGACGTTGGTTGGCTGGGTTTGGGTATTAAGCTTCCTGCACCTACACCTCTAAATCTATTATAAAACTTACTTTTACTTAAAACTGAAAGTATTACTAAAGTTATATATATGTATATATACATACATTATATATATATATATATATATATATATATATATATATATATATATATATATATATATATATATATATATATATATATATATGGTAAAAAACTAGCTTTAGACCTTTTGCACTTGATCAGGAATTATGCTATGTTGCTTTCATAAGACACTAATAAAATAGTATAAAATACGGTATACCGAGAGGCTTCTATGGCGCAGATGCCGTGTTTGAAGGCGTAGTATCAACCTTATTGTGCTTCAAGCCTCAAATCATACTTCCTGGCCCCTTCCCTTATTTGTAGCGGAAAATTTTCAGGGTTAGGTAGGCAAGGTAGTCGGTTCTATGTCCTGACTCTTAGAGTTTTTAGAGCCAGGACATGGCATTCACTTTACTACCTACCCATCTCTGAGAATTTTTCATTTCATATAACGACTGCCGTACTGAATAGCTACTGATGAAGCGCCGGCAGCAGTGCAACAGGCCTAGAACTAGATTTTTCCATCCCCGAGTGGCTTGGTTTGCATTTGTTTGATCTCTTCTTTGCGATTGTCTTTCATTAGATAGATAGATATATAGACACTAGAGAGAGAAATTTGGCCATGTGCAATGTCAACATAATTTGCGTAAGGAAGAAGAAATCATTCTCTATTCAGAGGTTGAATTTATATATAAAATATATAATTTAATAATATATGATTATTAATATTATTTTATTTATTATTACAGCAGCTGATCCTATGAACGATCTTGAATTATCACATTTATCATGTCATTTTTTATGGTTTACACAAGTATCAGACATGAATTAGAAATGGCTAAGATGACCATACCGGCTTGCATTGTCGCATCGTTAGTAATTAAATACAAAAATACTTTATTTATGACTGAAAGATAAATATATTATTTAGGTATAGAAAGCAATATATATATACATATATATATATATATATATATATATATATATATATATATATATATATATATAAAATTATTATTTATCGTAGTTATATAATTTCTCCATAAATAGATTGCCACTGGTTGTAGGGTACAGGGAGAAGTACAATTATGAGGAATCCAATGAATAAGGGTCATTTATCACATCTAGAAAAATAGCAGAAAGGATCATTCTTAACATAAATGCATTTAGAAGCGAAAGAAAATGAAAGCTCTGAATGATAACCATAAAATAATGGATAGCAAGGAACAGCTGTACACATGATAATCGTGGACTGGTTTACAAAAAAGGAGAGAATTAAAGGGCTAGGTTAGCGCTGGGTCGGTGATTACGGCCGCCTTCTTTACCCTAGAACGTTTGACGGCCTGCAGGGTTGGCCAGTCGGGAATTATCTCAGATAACGATGGCTTTCGATTCCCTGGCTCCGGGGGCTTAAGTCTTGGCGTGGGTTCCTGTCGTGACGTCGTGTAAGGAGGGAGAGAGCAAGTTAGCAGCTGCCCTCACACACACACACAAAACACACCTCTTGTCATGCTACCAGTAATGGCACTTCGGTTTGTGTTGTAGGTCGTCTCTCCATTTCAGGTTAGCCAGGAGGCTGCCTATACTTACTGCTTGACAGATGTTAAGCGCTAACTCTCAAAGGTATCATAAAAAGGTACAATCGTCTTGAAGAAACTAAACAAAACTAAATAAAATATTATCAAAACACAAGTAAAACTAAGTAAAAATTCTACTGCTTGTTATTTATAACAGAAAGAGCTTATTTAGATTTTAAATAATGATTTACTGGGAATGCCTGACTAATATTATGTTTAAAACTCTTAACATAATTTAACTCTGGATTTATTAAGAGGATATTTAACTCTCTTTCTAAAGGAAAAAAAGGGCATGCATCTCTCCTAATTAACTTGACGCGAAGGCCGTCTGCACTGAAGTCCTGGTAACGGAGCATCTGTTACAAGGATTGTTGGAGGGGGGCGGGAAGTAAAGCTGCTTCTCGTTTTCTCTTCTCCAGAAGACGAAAGGAAAGTGAATATAGCTGTAAAGGATAATGAAAGCTGGTAGGTCAGTATTGAGGTTTGAAAAAGGTCAAGAGAGGTATCCAGTGTTCGAGACTTTGACGACTCGTCAGCTTATGTGTTGTCGCTATTCACAACGTTTGTCACAGTTTTGCAGGTATGCGCTTATGGAAGCACAGTTTTTCGCTCTTGCTTCATCAACACTACCATAAAAAAATTTACATTATGCTAAAGAGGCAAGAGCTGGTTAGAGAGGAACTTACCCTCTCGACCTTGCGGAGTTGAGGCTTCTGCTCCTTCTCTGTCTCCTTCAGTTCACCCCAGTCTGGATCCTCGTTATCTCTTTTCCACTTAGCGTATTTCTTTTTCTTCAACATGGCACGGAAATCCATGCCACTTGCGTCTGTTACGATGAGATACGGAGGCATTAAAACCAGTGTATAGGAGAGTAGAAACAAACTCAGGCGATAAACTACTGATTATATCTTTTCGTCTTTTCTAAATATCAGACAAACTATATAACGTGGAAATTTTGCTTATCCTAATCATAAACAAAAATATTTTCTCTCACCCGAGACGTAAAAGTCCATTTCTGCAGTGTCTTCGCCATGTTCGTTAGCAACGATAACCTTGTAGTGATCTTCGTCGTTGGCCTTGGTCTTCCTTATGCACAGCGTAATAGTGTTAGTTTCACCCTCCGTGTGAATCTTATAGCGGCCGCTCTCGACGATCTCAGTGATGCCCTTGAAGAACTTGATCTTAGTAGGCGCCGGGATGCCTTCCACTACCAGGTCGATGTAGCCGTTTTGGTCTGTGAACAGTGAACGATTATAGGTGAGAGATTGAAACCTCGTATGATGTCAGATTATTTACAGTGAACAGAAAAAACTCTTTCCATTAAATATTACGTGCGTGGATGTTGTGCAAATGATAAGAAAGAGATGATTGTGGATGTTATGAATAAGAAGAAACTGGATGTCCTGGCTTTAAGTGAAACAAAGCTGAAGGGGGTGGGAGAGTTTCAATGGAGAGGAATAAATGGGATTAGGTCAGGGGTTTCAAATAGAGTTAGAGCTAAAGAAGGAGTAGCAATAATGTTGAAGGATAAGCTATGGCAGGAAAAGAGGGACTACAAATGTATAAATTCAAGGATTATGTGGAGTAAAATAAAGATTGGATGTGAAAAGTGGGTTATAGTAAGCGTGTATGCACCTGGAGAAGAGAGAAGTGTAGAGGAGAGAGAGAGATTCTGGGAAATGTTGAGTGAATGCGTGGGGAGTTTTGAATCAAGTGTGAGAGTAATGGTGGTTGGGGATTTCAATGCTAAAGTGGGTAAAAATTTTATGGAGGGAGTAGTAGGTAAATTTGGGGTGCCAGGGGTAAATGTAAATGGGGAGCCTTTAATTGAGCTATGTGTAGAAAGAAATTTGGTAATAAGTAAAACATATTTTATGAAAAAGAGGATAAATAAATATACAAGGTATGATGTAGCACGTAATGAAAGTAGTTTGTTAGATTATGTATTGGTGGATAAAAGGTTGATGGGTAGGCTCCAGGATGTACATGTTTATAGAGGGGCAACTGATATATCAGATCATTATTTAGTTGTAGCTACAGTTAAAGTAAGAGGTAGATGGGAAAAGAGGAAGGTGGCAACAACAAGTAAGAGGGAGGTGAAAGTGTATAAACTAAGGGAGGAGGAAGTTCGGGCGAGATATAAGCGACTATTGGCAGAAAGGTGGGCTAGTGCAAAGATGAGTAGTGGGGGGGTTGAAGAGGGTTGGAATAGTTTTAAAAATGCAGTATTAGAATGTGGGGCAGAAGTTTGTGGTTATAGGAGGGTGGGGGCAGGAGGAAAGAGGAGTGATTGGTGGAATGATGAAGTAAAGGGTGTGATAAAAGAGAAAAAGGTAGCTTACGAGAAGTTTTTACAAAGCAGAAGTGTTATAAGACTAGCAGAGTATATAGAGAGTAAAAGAAAGGTGAAGAGAGTGGTGAGAGAGTGCAAAAGGAGAGCAGATAATAGAGTGGGAGAGGCACTGTCAAGAAATTTTAATGAAAATAAGAAAAAATTTTGGAGTGAGTTAAAGAAGTTAAGAAAGCCTAGGGAAAGTATGGATTTGTCAGTTAAAAACAGAGTAGGGGAGTTAGTAGATGGGGAGAGGGAGGTATTAGGTAGATGGCGAGAATATTTTGAGGAACTTTTAAATGTTGAGGAAGAAAGGGAGGCGGTAATTTCATGCACTGGCCAGGGAGGTATACCATCTTTTAGGAGTGAAGAAGAGCAGAATGTAAGTGTGGTGGAGGTACGTGAGGCATTACGTAGAATGAAAGGGGGTAAGCAGCTGGAACTGATGGGATCATGACAGAAATGTTAAAAGCAGGGGGGGAGATAGTGTTGGGGTGGTTGGTACTTTTGTTTAATAAATGTATGAAAGAGGGGAAGGTACCTAGGGATTGGCGGAGAGCATGTATAGTCCCTTTATATAAAGGGAAAGGGGACAAAAGAGATTGTAAAAATTATAGAGGAATAAGTTTACTGAGTATACCAGGAAAAGTATACGGTAGGGTTATAATTGAAAGAATTAGAGGTAAGACAGAATGTAGGATTGCCGATGAGCAGGGAGGTTTCAGAGTGGGTAGGGGATGTGTAGATCAAGTGTTTACATTGAAGCATATATGTGAACAGTAGATAAAGGTAGGGAAGTTTTTATTGCATTTATGGATTTAGAAAAGGCATATGATAGAGTGGATAGAGGAGCAATGTGGCAGATGTTGCAAGTATATGGAATAGGTGGTAAGTTACTAAATGCTGTAAAGAGCTTTTATGAGGATAGTGAGGCTCAGGCTAGGGTGTGTAGAAGAGAGGGAGAATACTTCCCGGAAAAAGTAGGTCTTAGACAGGGATGTGTAATGTCACCATGGTTGTTTAATATATTTATAGATGGGGTTGTAAAAGAAGTAAATGCTAGGGTGTTCGGGAGAGGGGTGGGATTAAATTATGGGGAATCAAATTCAAAATGGGAATTGACGCAGCTACTTTTTGCTGATGATACTGTGCTTATGGGAGATTCTAAAGAAAAATTACAAAGGTTAGTGGATGAGTTTGAGAATGTGTGTAAAGGTAGAAAGTTGAAAGTGAACATAGAAAAGAGTAAGGTGATGAGGGTATCAAATGATTTAGATAAAGAAAAATTGGATATCAAATTGGGGAGGAGGAGTATGGAAGAAGTGAATGTTTTCAGTTACTTGGGAGTTGACGTGTCGGCGGATGGATTTATGAAGGATGAGGTTAATCATAGAAATGATGAGGGAAAAAAGGTGAGTGGTGCGTTGAGGTATATGTGGAGTCAAAAAACGTTATCTATGCAGGCAAAGAAGGGAATGTATGAAAGTATAGTAGTACCAACACTCTTATATGGATGTGAAGCTTGGGTGGTAAATGCAGCAGCGAGGAGGCGGTTGGAGGCAGTGGAGATGTCCTGTCTAAGGGCAATGTGTGGTGTAAATATTATGCAGAAAATTCGGAGTGTGGAAATTAGGAGAAGGTGTAGAGTTAATAAAAGCATTAGTCAGAGGGCAGAAGAGGGGTTGTTGAGGTGGTTTGGTCATTTAGAGAGAATGGATCAAAGTAGAATGACTTGGAAAGCATATAAATCTATAGGGGAAGGAAGGAGGGGTAGGGGTCATCCTCGAAGGGGTTGGAAAGAAGGGGTAAAGGAGGTTTTGTGGGCGAGGGGCTTGGAATTCCAGCAAGCGTGCATGAGCGTGTTAGATAGGAGTGAATGGAGACGAATGATACTTGGGACCTGACGATCTGTTGGAGTGTGAGCAGGGTAATATTTAGTGAAGGGATTCAGGGAAACCGGTTATTTTCATATAGTCGGACTTGAGTCCTGGAAATGGGAAGTACAATGCCTGCACTTTAAAGGAGGGGTTTGGGATATTGGCAGTTTGGAGGGATATGTTGTGTATCTTTATACGTATATGCTTCTAAACTGTTGTATTCTGAGCACCTCTGCAAAAGCAGTGATAATGTGTGAGTGTGGTGAAAGTGTTGAATGATGATGAAAGTATTTTCTTTTTGGGGATTTTCTTTCTTTTTTTGGGTCACCCTGCCTCGGTGGGAGACGGCCGACTTGTTGAAAAAAAAAATAATATATATATATATATATATATATATATATATATATATATATATATATATATATATATTATATATATATATATATATATATATATATATATATATATATATATATATATAAAAGTGAACACAATTTGAATGACAACAGTAGTGAGCCAACAAAATTCGTCCATTCTAGTAGAGAGAGAAGAGTGGTCATAATATTACAGGAACAAGTGCTCATAATATATTGTAAAGGAAGAAAAGTGTTGATAATTGTACAAGGAGTAAAGTGTTTATAAGAGCACAGGGAGAACTCTGTTTAAATTATACACGGAAAACTGTGTACAGGGAATGTGAAAAATACGCATAATAGTATAGGCAAAAGGTTATCCATAATAATACAAAAGGAAGTGTTCGTAATAGTAAAGAAATGTGTCAATAAATGTACAAGGAGAAGTGTGGCGTTCTTTGAAAAAAAAATGAAGGTGAGTTCTTGGGGATAAGAATCGAAAATTGAATTAATCATTCTTTGATAAGAAGTACAGTGAAATGATCTTACCCTCAACTGCTGTGTACTTCTGCTGCACGTCAACAATGACTGGTGGTCCTGGATTACCGATGTTGCGGAGCGGGGTACTTGCTTTGTCCATCTTCTCGTCATCTTGCACTGAGGGCCTCCGAACGTCACTGCTCGGGCGTCGACGCTGTGGTTATGGCCACGCCGTGAAGGCAGTGAATGGTGCGTGAGAGTGCCAAGAAGACAGGCCCCGCGAAAAATTCAGATTTGTGTTAGATTTTTTACATTTGTGGCTAGAGATTTACCAGGAACGTTTATGCTGGAGGAGAGAAGTATTTAAAAAGAAGGGGAGAGATTAAGAAAGCGCTAAGGAGATCAAGAATTCGGAGACAGTGACGAAGGAAGATTGTGTGAACGAAAGTATGATGCAAAGAAATATGATAAATTGGAAATGTTCCCGGTGGATCTCTGTTTCTGCGGCAGTTTGATTGATTGCCAACTTACCTCTTGCCCACTTGTCAGCAAAGCTATTATTGAAAAATGTTTAAATAACATAGGAAAGAAAAGTCTCTTATATCTTGCAAAGAACTGCAAAAAATCATCAAAAAATATGAAGAAGTAAAAAAATAATGGAACATGAAAGTCACAGATAATAGGAAGAGACGGTTTTGTACCGTTTATAAATGTTTCTATAAATCTAAATATACTGTATAAGAAAATTTAAAATCTATGGTAACAGCAACTATATTTTCATTCTACTTTACCTACATTATTTAATTATAATGCTATATACAGAAACTTCGATGTCAATGCTTCGTTAAACCAAGAATTTATTCAGGAGGAATCGAAAGTTTGTTCTTGTTAAACGAAGTATATAAAAAATAAAAATTCCACAGAGTGAACACATCCAGCATAACTGTGTTAGCACGCCTTAAATATTTATTTATTAAACGAAGATAACCAGAAAATAATATAAACTTTTATATGAACAATAACCACAGTCGTTTAACAGAAAGACATAGCTAAAATATTCTTGATTTAACGAAAATAGCAAGAAGTTATACCACACGCAATAAATAAATAAATATTATATATATATATATTATATATATATATATATATTATATAATATATATATATATATATATATATATATATATATATATATATATATATATATACATAATATATATATATATATATATATATATATATATATATATATATATATATATATATATATATATATATATATATATATATATATATATATATATATATATATATGTAATTTATTTGTATTATATCTACCATACACAACTTCACCCTCATACATTTAACACAAAGAAATTGAAAGACAGAGCAGCAAGGAATGTAACAATAATATCAGCCTTGTCATTTGTCATTAAAACAGTAGCTGGTCATTCTTGTTAGGATATAGGCATGTAAAATTTATTTCAAGCTCAAAAGTAATTAATTCCTTGTAACTAAAGCTTTAATATATTAATATAAAGATGTGTTGAATTACTGTTTAACAAAGACAAAATACCAGGATCATTACACTGTATCACATGGTCGCTTCAAATGGAATAAATAAAATATGAATTAAGTGTTGTCTCTGTATCACACTCAATATTCACTGATCTAACCATGAACAGGTAACTCAGAAAACCATATTAGAGTTTGGCAATCCTCGCATTTGTTTACACTTTTTTTCCATACCTGCTAAAATAATGGATATTATGAGCGTACAGTTTGCATAATACCAGGAGAGAAAAGTATGCTCGGGCTGTTACCTTGATGAACAATATCATACATTCTCACGTTATTAGCTAAGTGTATTATACCAGCGATACCCTGAGAATCTCCAGCATTTTAGAAGATATGAGTAAGCGTCAACACATGCTAGAATGATCACACTCTAATAGGGTTTTCAGTGTCATCCGTTCAGTCAGGTAAATGAAGGTCAGATGAGACCCCCTTCGAGGGTCGATTCGTATCTTAATTATTACAGATGAAAAGGCCAAATGATATAGCGTAGTGATATTGATGATTTGTCTTTATTGAACAGTGATGAGCTTTGAAATAAGTATTGCTAAAGAACTCGCTGTATATTAAGTCGTTTTTGGGTTAGATTCTAGGTGGCTGGTATATCATGGTAAATAATATTTTATTCATTATTATTCCTTTTACTGAATTCAGAAATAAATACTAAACCCGCATGGTTCGTAACGCACTGTTCTTACCAGATTTTCTTTAAGAAATACCAGCCTCTACACGACTGACAGATTACTTAAATAGCACGTCTGGAACCATAAGATGGATAGCCAGTACCAGCGACTTAGTCTAATAAAGAAAATGGTAATAAAAATGTGAGACGAGAGCTGCCTCAGCCCGCGCTAGGCCAAGTTATCATGCTCAGTAAGATAACACGAATGTCCCAGGTTCCTCCTTTTCTTGCTGACATAGTAACACTCTTTAACTACAAGAGTGACAAAACGAGAAGAAATTTTGGTTAACGGCCAATTAATTGTCTTTACCATGTGAACAGGTCAAGATGTGAGGTAACCAGGCCACAAAGCGATATTCTTAAAAACTGTTGCGATTACAATGCATCATACGATCTGTAGTGAGGCTCAGTGCGTTATGGAGTTGATATTTACAGGAATTTAGAAGAAAATTAAAAAATTACATTTAATTATAATTAAGTGACGAATAATCTGCGGAACTTTAGATAACCAGTGAAGCATGGAATTATCTAAACTTCCATGTTATCAAGCTATATACGCCATGTTTCAGGGGTATATAGATAGGCTTGTGGGACAATATGGTAGGGGATAGATCAACTCCTGGCCGCACGGGTCCTGCCAACTAAAGCGCCAAATAAAAGCATTACTGAATGGCAAAGCGATGATATTTTGTGAAAGTGGATGTTGCAGACGCAGCAGTGATACGATTGATGCAATCTGGGTCAGTAATGTGAAGAATGGGGAACGGACCGAGCCATTCCCTCAAAAACAAAATTAAGTTTGTTATCCCAACCTGATCATCGTCTAGAATTTCTCCCGGTCTCAAGCGACTCTGTATTAGCAAATAAAATAAGGATAATTTGCTAAAGTATAAATCAAATATTTTTTGTAAATATATTTTCTTAAAGACATTTAAGGAAAGAAATATTAATGAGTAGGCTGTTAGTAAAATATGAATTAAAAAGAACAGAAAGCATATACTACGAAGTAGAAGTAATAACAGATAACAGACAGAATAAACAGAAGAAAACGCGCGCGAACGCTGATGTCAGAAAAATTATCAGAGGCGAAAAGCTCCAACCGAAAGGAAATACGGTTTAACACCAGTATAATAAGGTCGGTGTCAGATTTTAAAGGTTGAGGATTTATAATTTATATTTTTTTAAACATTTATATACACTGTGGGCAATAAAATACATTAAGATAACAGAAGAATTATCAGTTAGGATTCGTTGAGAACTGCAGACAACTGCGAACGTGGACCTGCGTCTGAAACTCTTCCATGCCGCAGAAATTTTTTCTTTTATCTTTGATTCAGTGTCAAGTTTATAAGCTTAGAGTCAGCCTTCGCTTTAAAATAAGTTTTAATGTGTATTTCTTTTTCATTTAACTGTATTTAGTAGTTGATTTTGAGTTTAATGTAGCATTTATAAAATAAAAAAATGTGTTAGACCCAAGATAATTGCTTTGCAAATAAATGTGCTTAAATAAATAAGTTAATTAATAGCAAATAAGCTGCCGAAAATTATTCTAAATCTACAGTACAAATATAAGTGAGAGAGGAAAAAGATACTGCAAGAATCTTAGGTCTATTATAAAGAAATAATATATTCATGACAGTACATGACAACCAGCCTAGTTGTT